GCAGAAAGGTGTTCTCTGCAAAAGGTGTTCAGTGCCTTTTCTTCGCATCACAGAAAGAGAATTCTACGTTGTGAGGGTTATAATCCCTAAGTGCGACCACAGGCCGCCTACGCAGAAAGGTGTTCTCTGCAGAAGGTGTTCAGTGCCTTTTCTACGCAACACAGAAAGAGAATTCTACGTTGTGAGGGTTATAGTCCCTAAGTGCGGCCGCAGGCCGCCTACGCAGAAAGGTGTTCTCTGCAAAAGGTATTCAGCTCCTTTTCTTCGCAACACAGAAAGAGAATGCTACGTTGTGAGGGTTATAATCCCTAAGTGCGGCCGAAGGCCGCCTACGCAGAAAGGTGTTCTCCGCAAAAGGTGTTTTTTTATAATTATTTTACATTAATTAAATTTTTGTAAGAACTATACAACATATATATAAAGTACGTATACCAAATTGAAGGGAATCAAATTTCCTTTTAAATGAGATCAAGATCCATCCATCCGCCCAAAAAAAGAAGTATACCGTTATACTCAGCTATTTTTTTTTTTTTGGAGATTTGGAGCCCAACTGCATTTGTTCCCACAAATATATTATCCCTAAAAGGTACGCATGCGTTTGTAATACTTTAATATACAATTATTAATTAATTAATTAAGTAAAAGCGATTACAAATGTCTTCAAAAACGTTTGCACATTTCACAAACAAGCAGAAATAAAAATGGCTGACAGTAACACAAAATGTATGCTACCATACGTTAAAAAATTACACCACAAATAAGTGCGTATAATTAGGGGGTATAAGTATACAATACGTACATTGCTCTTATTACAAATAATAATATTAGGATCGATAGGTGTCTTACTCCTGATCATAACGGTATAATTTTCGGTATTTCGGGGGAAAATAATATTTACTGGTTTTATTGTAGTTCAAAGTACACAAATGTAGATAACGTACATCGATTTTTTATTAAAAATTTTCATTATTTATCGAAGTATTGATTTTTATGGAAAAAGCGCGATTTTTTATTAAAAATTTTCGCCTGCGGCGTTTTTTCCATAAAACTCAATACTTCGATAAATGATGAAAAATTTTAATAAAAAATCGCGCGCTGTTTTATTAAAAATTTTTCGATAAATAACTAAGTTAACATTTTTATTACAAAATCTCTCGATTTTAGACTGAACCACTTGTTTTTATCAATACATCGATGTTTAATTACAAACGAAAATTAATTACAATGCCCGTCTTTATTGTTTCTCGATTGCAGTACTTCTTTGTTTTGGGCATTTTGCGTTGTGTGGCAGCACTGACATTTTAGTTCAATTGGTTTACAAAGCAAAAGTGAGGTTGAAGTTGACATTTTTTGCAACTTAAAATTCAATTGTCATAAAAACTATAAGCCTCCGGAGGGTGGGGTTTTCAGATTTACAATCACAAAAAGCCGCTCGAAACCCCCTAATTTTTTATTTTTTTTTAAACTGGGTTCCGTATTGGAAAATTTTCTCACCACAACCAACTATTTTTTAATACTGCGAAAATTCATAATAACTTTGCGAACCCTCTTTATATTTGTTAGGTGTTTAAAATTTACGACATGCAACAATACGTCACCGTTGTGAATACCCCAAGTATAAATAGTGCAGTAGTAAGGATCCCATATTTTTTTCTCTTAGGCCCTGTGCCAATTGATAGAAAATAGAAAATTTTGACGGATCAAAGTAAAAATTTGACACTTCTCGTGGTGAATACGAACGTCAAAATTTTACCTAGCTCATGGGGCTAGGTAAAATTTTGACAGCTTATAACCATGTATACACATAATATTGCTTGGCGGTAATAAGGAGTGAACATGAAAATGAAAGCTGAAACAGCATAAAAAAAACGCACGTAACTTGCAAATTATAAAATAAATATAAATTTTAAGAATTTCAGCAACACACAAAAATTATGCTTTCGCACGAGCGTTTGTTTGGTTTTTCAACTGTCAAAATTTTACTCTGCATTTGGCACAGCAAAATTCAATTTATTTGTACACCATAGCAAATTTTTCCAACCCGTCTCACCACGGAGGAAACAGTTACCGATTGGCACAGGCCCTTACCGATAGTATCGATACTATCGATCGATACCCAAAACTATCAAAAATATCGAATAGTCCAACCATTGATAGTTTTGCAGCTCTACTGGTCGACTATTCCAATAAAACCCGCATCCCGCTTGATATATTTTAGCCAGCAAGCACAGTATATACAGTAATCAACCTTTTAGCAGTTTTTCACCAATTGGTCCCCGATGAGTACTTTTGGGTTGTGTGCAGCGTTTTCGTTTTGCGTGTACGGCAACACTTACTGTGGGGAATTTAGCCACGCGATTAGAAAAAGTTCATATCGAGGATAAGAGATTTATAATTATGTGTTATTTATGACCAAAATGTTAGTTTAGTATAATATCAATGCTTACTTAAGAATAATATCAATAGTTAAATACATAATTAAGACTTCCGTTTCCATAAACTGGAAAACTCAAATCATAATTATAGGACTGAATGGAGTTTTCTTAAATGGAAGTTCAAAATTAAAAAAAAACATCCATTGTAAGATTTTATTTTTATGAAAAAACGTGAATTTTGTTTTATTTTGTGAATTTATCAAGGAAAATTCTAAATTTCTGAATATATTTAAGTCTATATTCCACAAAAAAAAAAACAAGGTTTTTATAGTTATAGAGACTCCAATGCACGCTAGCGCATCCGCCCAGACTGTTCATTAAGCACACCCAAGTTTAAGCTACCATTTCCCGGAGTTCCTCAAAAATACTTAGGCCCGGTTGTACAAAGTCTGATTAGCACAAATCGGAGGTAGAAGCTCTGGTTAAATACAAATACTGCTTTATCAACCACATGTTATGTGCATGATGTCGGAAACGTCGATAATGATGTTTAACCGGCAAGTACTGATAACCAGACATTGAACAACCGGCCCTTAACATCAAAGTAAAGAATGCCACAAATATGAACCATACACACATACAATAGTAATTGCTTGAATTGATACCGCATAAATTCAGGACACGCATTTGCTTGGAGACTCTGTTGGTTATGGTGGTGATAAGTTCAGCCGGCACATTCAACTGCCCATTGCCTGGAGCTGCTCCAACATGAAGAGTAAATTTTAGTGAGCCTCACATGCCACTGCCTCTGGCTACAAGCTGGATATCTCAATATTGGAAAATAAATAGCAATTACCTAATAATATTAAAAGAAAAGTGTTTGTTTACAAAATTACATGTCCGCCTATTAACAACCCGGAGGGGGAGGGCTAATATTATTAACCATTTAAAAGTTATGAACAAAAAACTTTTGTTAAATTTCGTTGTTTGCTATGGGCAGTTATACCGACAAAGATTTAAGATTTTTAAACACTATTAAAATATATAATCTAACTTATTTATTAAACAAACACATAGTTTTATCAACCTAATATATATTATTTTGTTATTAAAACGAAGTTGACAATCTTTGCGAACTGAAACGCGAGATTCCAAAGTAGTTATAGTGCTGCCACTGTATTAGTATTTCGTAATAATTCCCTTTTCCTTACAAGGTGTGTGCATTGTTCGATGCTTTTCGGTATCTTCTTTCGTTTAATATATATATATAAATAATACAAATTTTTAACAAAAAATCGCGCTTTTTCCATAAAAATCAATACTTCGATAGATAGTGAAAATTTTTAATAAAAAATCGGTGTACGTTATCTACATTTGTGTATTTTGAACTACAATAAAACCAGTAAATATTATTTCCCCCCGAAAAAATTATACCGTTATGATCAGAAGTAAGACACCTATCGATCCTAATATTATTATTTTTAATAAGAGCAATGTACGTATTGTACACTTATACCCCCTAATTATACGCACTTATTTGTGGTGCATTTTTTTAACGTATGGTAGCATACATTTTGTGTTACTGTCAGCCATTGTTATTTCTGCTTGTTTGTGAAATGTGCAAACGTTTGTGAATACATTTATAAACGCCTTTTACTTAATTAATTAATTAATAACTGTATATTAAAGTATTACAAACGCATGCGTACCTTTTAAGGATAATATATTTGTGTAAATAAAAGTGATAGGTGTGGGGTTATAATAAAGTGTAGTGATAGCAGGCGGGATATTTTAACAACAAATAACTTAATTACTATTAGCAACAACAATGGAAAGTGATAAATATAGTTAAAGGAGACCTCCATTAGTATCCAAACCGAGTTTCATAAAAAAATTCAGTATACTTTGCACGGACTAGCAATTGGTTCCGTAATGGAAATCTCGGCCGTTGTGGTTTTAAGTTCTCTAAACATTTATTTAATCTTTTAAAGTTTACGACATACAACAACACGACAGTTACGACACCGTTGTGGGTCCCCCAATTAAATATGGTAATATTAGTAGTAAAAACAGAAAGGTTGGTTTTTGTAACGTTCTTTATTGTTTGACAATTGCTTCCGGGAAGGGTTCGAACGATACTATCAATATTGAGTAAGCATCGATACTGAGGGTATAAAAATGAATACTTTAATACTCGATACCTTATTTGGTGATTTTACTCGATACTTTGCAAAGTACTCGTAGTATCGAAAAATTTTTAAAAAACACACTTTTTAAATTTTTTCTTCCATTGGCAACCCAATTTTCTTTGCTTAAATGGATTACTATCATTCAATTTTGTCCATCACTTGAAATAAACTGAAATTTCGTGTTGTCTGTTGCATAACATAAACCAAATAAATTAAAGTTTAACGGCCATATTCATAAAAAATAAAGCAGGTTTAAAGAGCTTAATAAAATGACATTTTCATAATTTTTCCAGTTTATAAACCTTTTTTATTTTTTATGAATAAGGCCATAAAACTTTACGCAAAGTTCACGAAAATGCAGAATTTGTAGGAACCTTTTGGGTATGCAGTTTTGTAACCTTTTCAACTTTACGTGTAGCCTCTTACCGTTGACATTTAATTCAAACTTGCGCATTATTATACTAAAATTGAATAGGCTACACAAATGCATACCCAAAAAGTTTACAAAAAGTCTTAATACAATTTTAAATTCATGAAAGTATATCTATATATATATATATGTATGTATGTATGTATGTACATTTAACGTTAAAATTACTTCTTACATGAAAGTAAGTTCTGCAATGAAATAAAAATCAAATATTTTAAATTTTTATTGTTTTAATTTCAGGAAATAACTAGATATACGTTTGAAGAATAAAATAATTTTAGTAACCCAAAAAACGTATTTAATGAGTTTGATACTGAGTAGTATCGATACTTTTTGCCTGATACTTTTAGAGTATCGATACCATGAGCTCCATGCCATAATGAGTACTCAGTATCAATACCAAAGTCTGAAATTTCGAACCTTACTTACAGACTAAAACTTAAAAGTAAATGTACTTCAAAAGGGAGTCGGCATACAGTTTCATGCAATGCCATAAGTGTATATAGGTTTGTATAGTAACCAATAGTCAGTACTAATTTGAACTGGAACCTGCAAATTTTTACTAGAAAAGTGTATGATAACCCAAAAAATTTGCAAGAGAGCACTGAATCGAGAGCGTAAGAACACGGGAGAGCTGCAAATTCTTGCTAGTGAAATTTCTACTAGCAGAAATTAGCTAGCAGAAGAAGAAGAAGAATAAGTGTCAAAAGCCGCCATATGTTGAATTGGTTTAGCACAAGCAAAAGTAAAATGAGTAGAAATCAAAATATTAATGATGTACTGGACTGTATAAGTGCGTGTGTGTAAAGCAAAGCGTTTAAAAATGATTTATTTATTTATTTATTTATTTAGTCTAATAAAGTTATAAAAGTTCCTTACAGACTAATAACAAAATTCAGCTTAGTTACTAAATAATAATAGATAAGAACTAGAAAATGGAATCCAAGGAGTTTTTAAAAACATCTAATGAAAATGTAAAATCGATTGAAACATTGTTCGAAATCATATTAAGTTCGTTTAAAGCTCGTGGAATAGGGGCATTACGGGAGTATTCAGTTTTGTACCTGCCCCCGTAGAATGGTAAGAAGTTACGCATGTTTCGCTGAGGAATATTAAAATTAATTTTTTCCAAAAGAACAGGACAATCAATAACACCTCTAATTAAATTAAAAGTAAAAGATAAAGATAGTACAGATCTTCTAGCTTCTAAAGGCTTCAGACTTATTAAAAGTAAACGTGATCTATATGATGGCAAAGGTTCTGAAAAATTTAGGGTACGTAGTGAAAACTTCAAGAAGACCTTTTGAACACGTTCAATCCTACTAATTAAATAGTTTTGTGAAGGTCTCCAAATAATTACGGAATATTCTAAATTTGACCGAACAAAAGAGGTATACAGTAATTTTAGCGTGTAGGGATCAGAAAATTTTGTGCTATTACGCCTTACGAAACCCAGCATCGCATACGATTTAGCAACAATGTGAGAAATATGGCTGCAGAAAGTAAAATTCGAAGAAAAAATTACTCCAAGATCTTTGATTTCGTTAATTGATTCTACAACAGAATTAGATATTGTATAACTTGTAGGCACAGTTTTGTGTATTTTTGCGTACGTAACTTTGAAACATTTTTTAATATTCAAGGCAAGAATATTTTTAGTGCACCAAACATGTAG